TAACAATCATTTATGATAAAATATATTTCATCAGTACTTCGCCTTCGCATCTCCAGCTGCTAAAGACGACAACGGCTCAGCACCAATCGGCGGCAGATTCATCTTGGGCCGTGGGCGACCATAAAGCGATAATGACTCTCGGAACTGTTCCATACATTCGACTTCTTCCTGAAAACATAGAAATCTAACTAGGATTCATCCTATGAAATGTGATTGTAAGCTAGACATAATACTTCCATAAGATATAATAAGATATAAAAAGCTAATAAAAAGACAAGTAAGAGAAAAAAGTGAAAGAAAATGATTGAAATAGAATGTTCAAATAATTAAAATAAAAAATAACAATGTTATAAGTATCCAAGAAATACAAGTAATTTTAAATAATTTAAATCAGTGTTCTAGAGATAGAGAGATACATATAAGTGTAAAAATGAAAATACGACACAAGTCAAAAGTTTAAGATAAACAGTTCCTAGTAGCGTCACTTACCAATTTATCCTTGCCAGCAATTTCCCTCTTCGCTCTCGATTTCTCCACCATTCCGTCCCTCTGCTCGCCTTTACCGTGCACGAATACAGCAATCTAAGATAAAAGGATTTTGATCCGAAAAGCTAACGGGAAATAATGAGGAAAGTGAGCTGTCTAATTTATGTAAATCAAGAATCAGGTAAATAAGGACGAAGTTAACAGACACACCTTACGCCGCTCAGGAGCATTTCTGGTGAATTTGAGATCGAAATAAGAGAGGAGATCTTCTTTGGTGACCGTTTTCAAGACTTCCACTTCGGAATTATCTAGAAATACAAATTTTGCACAAAAAATACGAAAGTGAAAAGTATCAACGTTACAAACTGCAAGCAACGTTGCTGCAACCACTTGCTCATAACGAAGGATACAACAGATCTTTCCAATCAGAACGAACGTTGTCACCGAGAAATCCCTTAACTCCTTACAAGGAACCCTCCTATCATAAAAGCAGAGCTCAAATGAGAAAGCTAATTGCTGGCTGTTACTGTGATCTACGACCAGTTTATTAAACTGTACGAACTGTCGTCTCCAAATTGTTTAGGGACCGAAAATCTTGCACTTCATTATGCATTCGCGCAAAATCACATTCCCCAACCAATCAAATTAAATGTGAGTTTACAGTGAACTACTCAAAAGAATTAAATACCAAAGACTGTGTGAACAGACAAAACCCACTCCTGTCGAAATCATACTGCCTGCAATCTATCTCATTCCAAAAGCGTCTCGATCGTGCTCCCAGAGTTTTCGGTTTCTCGAGCAATCGGGTAATAAGACCGGTTTTCTGCTTGTCAAATTCGTCTTGTGGCATTTTCGCAATTTCCTCCTGAGATGAATTCTCATAAAATAAAATAAACAAATGTGTAACTTTAGAGATCTCGAAGACTCTCAGCCGTCTATTCAGACGTACTGTAGTCAAATCTGAAGTCAAACTGACTCGTATCTTCTCGATGAATGCTTCTATTCGATCAAGCACATGATCAGGGTTTTTAGGACCTTGCACAATGAACTGCAGCCCGAGAGTTCCAGCATTCAACCGTGAGCCAGTCCAAACGACATACCCTGAACAACGTAGGTTAGATCGAATCACGGCAATTCTTCTGGGAATATTATGTGTATGCACAAAGAAATCACTTCAAGCCAGAAATGGTGTCTCGCTATCTTAGTGCGATCGTGGGAAACTTACACCCATGCTTGTGTGACGGTATAAGCAGTAAGTAATCACATATGTAAGTCAAATCCAATTAGTACAAAACACTAACCTAATTGCTCGACAGTTCTCAGCTGGTTGAAGGCGGGTTCACGCAAAAGTTGCACCAGTAACTCAACTAGGGCATTTTCTCGGGTAGCCTGAAGTCATAAGATTGGAAGTCAACAGCCGAAACTCTACGTTTTCCGCTAATAGCGTGTTGAATAACGAAAATGCCTGCAAAATAGAAAGGTAACGACCTGACCTGAACTCCTGCTTGAAACAAAACTTCAACACACGATACCTCGTGAGTATTCTGGAAATGTCGATACACATATGCATCTCCTAAAACATGCATCATAGAAGGAAAAATGAAATAAACTGAAATAAAGCTGGATAAAAGACTGGTAAAATGATTTTGTTACATTTTGATAAATTTTCAGGATTGAGAAAACAATGGGCGGCTTGATTCTCAAAATTACGTGGAACAATTTACTGAAAGTTCACTTTGTTACCTAATAAAAAAGAGGCTCTTATTGCAATATTTCAAGGGGAAGAATCGGAATTTCGACCAGAATAGACCACTCCACCCCGAACTGCACTTATGCAGCAATTACGACTACGAACATCCTTTGTTCACGGATTGCTAATTGAAAAAATGTGATCACAGCTTACCATTTTCTAGAGCATGTTCCCTCATCGGCGTATACTCATTTCTGAACAACGGGCGACTTTTGGATGCCTCACGCAACGTCTTTGTTACTGCATGACCAAGCGTCAATGCCTCCTAAAAAGTAGCCACTAGCTTTCAAAGCCAGCAACTAGCGAAAATGACAACTAAAAACCTATGCACATAATTTGGTTATTGATCCAAAGCTTTAGAAAGGCTCAAAGAAAAATCCCCAAAAATTGGTACTTACCTGTTCGGTCGCATTACCATGGACAAAAAGCTCAACATGGAAGGCTCGTAACATTTCTTTTCCGAATGCCTCTACTTCGTGCACGTTCATATCTGAATTACAAAGATGAGAATCAGAAAAACAGTTTGTCCTTAGAAGATTTGGTTCTTACCAGGACAACGTCCAAACTTCAGTCAATAAGCAGAAAAAAGCATATCAGCTTTCGGGTAGCACAAAACAAGATCCGAAGAGAGCAATGTAACCATTTCAAAATGGGACGGAAAGCAAATTTTATAAGAGTTTTTCTTCAAGTACAAGGAAAGGAACTCAAACCAACACAGGAGCAAGAACAGCTGAAGAGACTAAAGGTGCCCCACAGATCTAAATATAAAAAAAACGGTCGTAAACAAGAACGTCGACCGAATTGTTCTTAAAATCTTCAAGAAATTAAGCGCGTTTAATAGAAATACTAGGAAAAAGAGCTGAAGGATGGAAGAAAGGATGCAGAAAGAAAGAAGATAGGTTTATGTGAAAAA